CACCTAAGAGAACCCTTCCCCATGAGTTACCACAACTCATTGCAGCTAAAATCAAGTCAGCTTGAGGTATTTTAAATACAAAAAACTGGGATTAAAAAAGGATCAAGTTTGAATGAAATCCAGCAGAGGCAAAAATAATTCGGTAATTCAGCTCTAATTTGGTAACCACCGAAGTTTTCTTACATCAAATTGGCTCAATGAGGGCATGATAATAAGTGAAATAAAGTTCTAATTAAATAGAATAATCTGGTAGCGCAAAGCATCTGTAACCCTGGAGTCAATTCACACCACTATCATAAATATTCCACCACTTTAGTGTTGCTAAAATTGATACCATATAAAAGTCAAATTAATCTTTTTTTCTTCGTTTGCCTACCACTGCTGCGGTCGATTGGGATCGGAGTCATCTGTGCTTTCCGCAGGTTTCTGACGATTCTCCAACTCCTTGTCCGGGAGCATGGCGCCTTTTCTGTACAGCGCCCCAAAGACTTATTGATTAATTTAAAAGGTGCGCGAAGCAAAAACGAAAGCCTTAGGTGGAAGAGGAGGAAAGGAGCGGTCATACGATTATCCTTTGATCATTCGATTAGGCTTAAAGAAGCTAGGCGCGTGTGTTTTTATTATCACTTGACTGTTTGTGAACGGTAGTTTCGTCAAGCAATAAAAACTGGAAAGCTACACCATCTCCTCATTTTAAAATGAATATGCATCTATTCGGAGTGCAAAAAAGTGGTCTATCACCGGGAGCATGATGGCAGGATGCCTCCTCTAGAGCAGGGTGGAAACTCGTAGTGGATCGCAAAAGTTGCCAGCCTCCAGTTTAAGCACGGGAAGCGTCCAAATCAAAACAATTTTCTAGATGAAACAAGGGGTGCAACCTTGTCAATGTGTGTGATGGTACCCATCCTCACACCAGTAAGCCGTTCGAGTAGTGTATTTCAAAGACAATCGCACGTCTGTACGACCACCATGTTCCCCAGTCCATGGCTTTGAAAATTATTCCTGTGAACATTGGACAAGAATCCTCGATTTGATCGGAATGCTTCTCATATAAAAGTGTGGAATCTACACAAGCGAGAAATACACTACAACTCACTTTTTTAAGCCATTCCTCAAAGCTAAGAGGCGGTTCCCTTTTAATATCGCCAGCAGCCGTCCCTGGGACATTTGCAGAGGTAGTCCCATTTGACAGAAAGATGGGGTAGCACAGCCAGTAGGCTGGCCTTGGCATTCCTTGCAGTGCCGATAGCTGTGGTGGGAAAGCAGAGGGGATTCCACCATTATAAACATCATTTTTCGACACTTTTTGAGCTTCTGGCTGAACTTTTGCATCCCGGGACTCAGAAGGCATCTCCTTTGGTGCAACGGGATCCTGAAAGCACCGAAAGTGGCAAATAGGTGGCGTTTAAAGAAGAACTGAGTAAACTGAACTCACTGTAATGATACACTGAGAGGCTACTTCCTGAGCTTCCTTGACGGTTGAAGAGGAGGTACTAGTTAAGGGAAGGAGTAAATCTCTGGTTGGACCGCAGATATCACAGATAAAGTTCCTGGAACTGTGAACAAAAGAAACAAACAATCTAATCTGTCTCATTAATTAAAGAATCAAGCATAAAAGATGATGAACAACCTTGCGGCGAGTTTGCGACGCTCTTCAGTGGAAATACTCATGGATCCTATAGCACCGGCACCTGAAGTCGGCATGAAACCAATGATTGCAAGCAAAGCTGTCCGAATGGACCAAGAGGGGCACCATGTCTCTGGGTGGTAGCCAGAGATGCTAAGGCATATTTGGCGGTACTGTTCAAAACGACCATTTGGCTAGAATGAGTAAAATATGGCAGATCAAAGTTTTGGTTACGTCGATGAACCTACCGTCAGTAACATGATATTTGGTGGTTTCATAGGGTACTCTGTAGGGAGCGAAATCTGACCATGATAAATTCCACCCTCAAATTCACTACCTTCTGGACCACGTATAGTAAAGTGCCACTCAAAAAGGTTGTCCTAGACGAATTTACCGCTATATGAAATGACACTTACCTCCAGTGGTTGAGCATAATAAAGTTCTGTTGGTTGCGAAAGCTCTTGAGCTTCGCGCATCAACCGCTTGACGGCTGTGGAGATGCTAATCAAGATTATGTAAGAAAACGTACCAGGGCTTCTGGTGTTGTAGGCCGTCATCATTCGCGGATGCAAAAACCTCGCGACTCTAATGCAGCAATACAAACACGAATATTCGTTTATTTCGAGTGATATGTAAGTAATCACAATTACTAGCTTAATATCTGGTTATTTTCCCAAGCAGTTGTGCTTTAGGTTTTTTTAATTTTAATTCGTTACAGGTTTATTACAATTCTATTATTAATATTGCTTTGTTTGATCATGGACTTCAGAAGGGGTTGCCGAAAAGCTTTTTGATACTGATACACAATTTGACCACATTTGTCTAGATTAGGTTTTTGTAAGATCGACTGGTTAAGTAAAGCTTAGCCGTAAAATATATCGGATTTAATATCCCCACCTACTGTGTGATCGTTTCGCACTTGCACTTATCGGTTTGACGTAACCTTTTCCTTTACTATGAAATGTCCAATATTTTAGGCTGCTCATTAGTCTGTAAGACTTATCGCTGATGCAAAGCTCTGAGTCACCCCCTAGGAGCACTTTAATTATTTACCCTATTTCCTGTTATTTTACCCAGTGACGATTTTGATCTAAGCACCATTGGCAGCAGAATAGGCTGCTTGCGTTGAATGGGCAGGGTTTTATATGGTTTTGTCCGTTCAAGTGGGTTATGTATACATCTTTCGGGAGTTACATATGCCAAATGACGTGAACTATAAGTTATTTACCATAAGATGAATACTATTTACTTATCTGTAAAATGCGTATTAACTTCTACACTTTAGGTTTCATTGTGCAGTAATATTGGGTGAAAACCTCCAACAAACGCCTTATTTTGTTCTGGTTTTGAGCAAAGAATGCGTTTTGCATTGGTACCTATTGCACAGCCTTTCAAGTCCATGAAAAAAGTGTAGCATCCATTTTCCGCATATCCAGCATGCCTTCGGAGCAGTTCTATTTTTGCGTCCCATGGCCCACACATAAGCAATTACTCAACACAACGATCGGAGGTTCGAAAGTCCAAAGTACCGAGAGTTAGAATCATAAACCCATTTCCAAATCTGAGACGGTTTCGTCGACCTTGTGGAAATTTATGGAGGTAGCACAACGCATGTGTTAGCGTCACGAGGACATCTCATTTTGGTTGGCTGAGTGACCTTCATCTGAGGCCGAGATGAGATTGCAACGCCTGATTCGTCAGTCATCGGCTATCGATCGGTCATTTATGTGCGTACAGGCAAACAATAACACACGTCCGCACCACATCTCTCAGCGCGTTCACTTGCTTCCCATTGATGCTTTACGTGCGTATGACTCAGTCCTGTCCAGGTGAAGGTCACGAGGCGATTGGTCGATTCTCAGTTGCCTCGAGGTCCAATTGGCCGGCCTCTCGCCTATATGCCCGCTTAGTCAAGTAAGACGACACTTATTCACGTCGATCACTTTTGGCGCATGCATCCAACATCCCCCGCGACGTCAGCCGCCTCTGCACCAAGCGCAACAACTTCGTTTACAAAACGAGAAGTAATTCTGCCCATTTCAGCCCTGGGGAGTATTCTTTCTGTGGCTCCCAACCTAGGAACGAGTGTACCTACTTTGCTTCCAAAACCCGCAACCAACACTCCTTCCAGACCTGTTTTGAGCAATGCACAGCCCGTCACATCCTTGGAGAATGTGGTTTCAGTCATCTCCAACTCACGACCAAGTCTGCAGGCATCGATCGTCCCGTCAGGTCCCAGACTCGACATGAATCAAATTCAACAGTCGACCACTGGTCCAATTCCTGAACTGGACCCACTGATGGGGATCGCCATCATAAACAGCACAACTGCCACCTTCATCTCCCAATTGGCCACAAATATCTCCGGTTCTCTAACGTCAGTCGCTGTATCATCTATTGCTAGAGGCTCAAATGCCGAAATTCTGGCGTCGTTGAGAGAGGTAGCACAACTCTTGACAACGATGTCAAGTCTAACAGCCAATTTGAATAACTCGGTGTCATCTATGATCTCAATCACGAAGAGTAGGTGTAGGCCTCCGACTCAGATGGACTCTTCTGCAATTAATGTTACCGGTGAAGTTGGCAGTAGTTCTCAAGCTCCTGCACAAGGAACGCTGAAAGCCTTACTCACAAAACCATCGCTTCAGGGCGATAGCGAGGAAGAGAATCGACCAACAGATCAAGCCGGTGCTTTGGCATCTGAAAAGGTAGCTCTACCACCTCGGAAGAAGTCCCGACGTATTCTCTCCCACTCAACCACCTCGGAGCACACTAATCAACAGATTGGCGAGGGAAAGTATGAAACGTGAGTTCCAAAAGTCAGGCAACGCTTTATATTTATACGCCCCCGCTTTGTTGAGTATTGTTTTAGCCAATCGTGTGAGGGTTCTCATCTAATTGGCCAGATCACGAATATCTTCTTATTCTATTGGCTGATGTTCTTAATCGCTTTTTTTAGGATCAAATGGCGACTACGGTGAGAAGTGTGATCGGTATAATTTTCTAATACACCTAATTACATTATTATTTGTCATAAATTTTTCTACGTATCCTGAAATACTCTGGAATAAAGTTCATAAACACGTACACAATGTAATTTCTCCCACGATCAAGACATGGTAGTCATTATTTAAGAAGGAGATGCTGTAAATGTATTTCGTTGAAAGTTTAGGATGACGGGTTTATTACCTTCCTCACTTACTTTTAGATCATAAATATGGAAGAGCAGGTATCAACAGTCGATGTGTTTCTAGAAAACGCATTTGGATGTAATTTCATCAGTAAGTCTATTATATAGGGAGCGGAAGGTTAGAAAGCTAGTGACCTCGGCAATGGTAGGGTAGGAGGACACTTGTCCGAAGCTTGGGTCTTCGATCTCCGCGACTTCAGTTTCTACCCATTTGTACGGGATTCTGCACATGTTACACAAGTCCTTCTGTGCAATTATGATCAAGTTTTATCCAGAATCGTGCATCCTTAAGACCACTCCGAGGAACACTTGAGCATTGCAATACCTCGAAAGCTTAGGCCTCATCGCGGATGTGGAAGAATCCGTGTCATTGCTATGCATGAGCAAGGCAAACACCTTAGTGCCACTTATTGTTCTAATTAGATCGGCTTTATGTAGTGTCTAAATTTCATTTTAGCTGATAAAAAACATGGGTAGAGTGTGGTGATCTAGTTGTTTGTTTAACGCTCGATTTTGATAAGGGATTACTTAGGGCTCCTTCAGTGTTCCTCAACCTGGCGGCCTGACCTCTAGGCCATGCCTGTAGCCCCCAAGCCCTTCGGTAGGTCGGCAGTACATATTCTGCTCTAGTATTATGTCTTCTTTCGCCTATAGAAGCATTCCACCTTTTGGTACTTTTTTGTAATCATCTGATTCTCTCAGTCGCATTAACTATTCAAAATTTCAAATAAAATTTTATTTGGATGATGGCGATTTTAAAATCACTTGCTGCTTATTGAATATCAGTAGAATATGCGGCGACACGGATTCCCATAGTTTAAGTAGGATACTGGGCATGTCTGATTTTTTATAGCTAGCCCGAGTTTCCGTATGATTTGCTCACTTCTTTTTATTTTACAATTTCTTTTGGTGATTCTACGTAATATCTGAACTTTATTTAATGCTACTAAAGTAAGTACAAGTGCTTTTAATGTAACTGCAAATAATAAGTGAGTAATGAGTCTCCCTTCTGTGTGTATCTCAAGAAGTTTACTTAATATTTGAAGATAAGTTTGCGTTTAAGTTTAAATTTGCTGCTAAATACGTAAAAGCATGCCCATACACAGCATCATGCAGCCTTCACCAATAGGAGTGCAGCGGGCCCACATCAGCCAATCACGTGCGTGATCGGATAACGCACTCGTGTGCACGTGTTTGACGTGACTCCTTTCGCACACCTAGCACCATAAGTCGGCGCATGACTAATTCCACCCCCCGATTGGTTAGTCAGGGTTCAGCGATCACGAGGTCTCGTGGAGCATTCAAGTGGTAAATGTGAAGGCCTTATAAACTAGATGTTGATATGCCCATTACCTAGATTTTCACTTACCTAATAGGGGAAATGAGATATCTAGCTCCCTAATTAATAAGGAAAAATTTCAAATAGTCATATGGGTAACAGTTTAAGTATCTGCAGTTGGTAGGGCGCATATCGATGTTCTTCGCCGTCAACGGGTAAGTCAATGCTTCTTTGGCTCTTTCATTTTATCCAGTGAATTAGTTAGATAATGTTAATCGCTTGCTCAATGGTGTCGCCGTCTGAATTGTGTTCGTATCACCAGCGCAATGGAAGCGTTGACACCAACCAAAAAATTGAAATTGAAGGTTATAATGTCGGCATTTTTGGGCACGAGAGGGAGGGGAGTGGGAAGGGGGCCAGAATTTCGTCCTAATCTTTGAATACCGTATTTGATGCTAGTATCGACTCAAAAATTCTCACATCGAACTTGGCGTCAATCTAAGACCACCGCCACCTCACAGTGTACTTTGACCACGACTGAAGCACTTCTCAGTCACCTCTCTACGGGGTGTTGAATCACGCCTTATCTAAACAAAACAGTTAGAATTCAGGCATGAAATTCCTCCTGACGACACTGAACCCGGTAGCTTCACTGATGCTGCTGCATTGCGCGCGCCGTTTGAAATGTCCTAGCAGCCAATCACAGCACGCCAACTGGGTGCACGAGTTAGCGGGGCGGGGTAAGGGAGGGGGGACTGGCGCAAATCGATAAGCTGCATGCACTTGCCCCGAGTGGCATGACAAGTTGACCTCGCTGTGCGTGGGCTTGCTGGTTTGCTTGCACTTGTCGTTATGAAAATTCCGATTCATTTTTTGGGATACCATTTGTTGCTTACCCTGAGGGGGACTCAGAAAAGTTGGCGGTGGAACTTCTTTTGTTCACAAAGCTGCCCCCAAGTTCAAGTTCATGAAGAAGCAGTAAATCGGCCCGGAGGAAAGAAGGGACATTCCTCCCCCTTCAAATGATGAAAAATGGACGGTTAGGAGCGAGATTAAGCTGGGGGATTGCTGAAAGGTGGTAGCGGGCTGAGCCACCCAATGAGAACCCCTGAAGAGGAATATCGATTATTGTCTCAGGAAGTCACCGACCGATCGATAGGCCGCGTGGGCTCCTGAACACCGTTCTTGTAGCGGGAGACTGGAACTCTACTCAGGTGAGTCAGGGATCTGAAAATAACTAAGAAAGAGGAAAGAAATTAATTAAATTGGAAATGAAATTATGCGAAAGAGACTCCCAGTGGTGGGGGCGGGGATGGGGGAGCGGGGGCTTAATTGCCAAAGTGTGAACTCTCAAGTTATGCCTTGGGAGGCGGTGGGAATTTGGCGAAATGTTAGCTCACACGCCCGAAAGGGCAGATTATTACTTATTCGACACCTTTTTTCAAACTACATGCCGAAACGTCATTAAACGCAGCTTAGTGTGTGGGGTGGGGTGGAGCGAAGAGGGAAATTGAAATTCTTGGAAAAAAGGAAATAAAACCAACTGGCATCGTCTTCACTCTTCTAGGTAAAGATGTCAAGTGATTAAATTCAAACTTGCTTCATCCATCACTGTGTCTCCTCATATCTACCCCTCCCAGTTCAATGGGCGCAGGAGTAGTCATTCCAGCACAGGTTTTAAGTCTCTTGCACGATTTCGAATCATCACTATTTCACAGGCGAAAGATGAAGTAATTTATAGTGGGATCTGAAGTCAAGTGACCGAAATGTTCGTGCGGCAACTTGTAGGAAGCGTTTATGTCCAAAATT